ATTGAAAAACACTTCAGTAGATTTAAAATACCATGAGTACTTTAGCAAAAGGTTTTGAGCTGGTGAATTTGTGTGGAGGGGGGAAACAATCTAGAAGTTGTCTGAAAGAACAAAATCACATAAATAAAATAAAAATCACATCTTTGTTTACAAAAAAGCAACCAAAGTAAAGGAAGAATGAACTGTTACTTGCAGACTGTATTTATGTTTTACTTGATGCACTAAATGATGCTGAGTTATCTGGTAACCAGGTTGTTTTTCTTTCCTGGCTCATTCAAATTTGACAAAGCAGTTTTACCAATAACCTTACAGAAACTTCAGATGGAGTAATATGTTCACAAAGGTTTCTGTGACAGAAATATGTACACTAAATTAGTGTTTTCTGAAGCTTTATATGTTTTTCTAGAAAAACTTTCAAACTTGATTGATACAGTGCAAAAACTTGTCACATTCTGCTATTACATGCTCGTTATCTCGCGATCTTGAGAATAAATACATTTAGTTTTTATTTTTAAAATTTCTCTATTATACTAGTTGTGCAGAGGCCACTTATGGAGCAATTTCTAGAGGTTTATGCATGCAGTGCCATATTTGAACTAATGTATTCTGTGCACTACATAACACCTGAAATCATCTCTGTAAGGACTTCTGACTCTTGTTGTGGTCTAACAGTGCATCTTTGACAGTCTGTAATTTACAGCATTCTCTGAGGTGCCTTTGCTGGCTTAAAAAAAGCTCAATAACAAAACCTAATATTAACAGTTTTGCTGGCAGAATCTTTTCCATTTCCTCCGACTGTTGGTTCCTATTCTTTAGAAACCTGCAAAATGTAACTTTCTGTGACTTCCTTGTCACTTACTGGATAATGAGGACAATACAGGCACTTGTTCAGGAGCGTGTTAAGGATAAAGCTGGTTCTTTCCATTATTACGGATTTTGCTAAGTTCTGTCAGCCTTAATTTCTACTATTTAGTCTTCAAACTGACTTGCACTGAGGTTTTGCTTACACTGGAAATCAGCATAGTCCCTTAAAAACATATAAATAAATAATCTTGCCTGGGTAGGTTGCATCTGTCTTCTTTCTCATGCTTCAGAGTAGTAACAGTGACGTACTCTTGATGCAAATCTCTTTGAGGTAGATTATAGTAGGAGCAACTGCTAGTTTGTCTTAGGTGGCTTGGGTAAATTCTGATTCGTTGAGGACAGTAGGGGCTGTCAAAACTGAAGAGCAAATGCCTTCCTTACTAAACTATATATATGTATAATATGTATATTATTTTTTATGTATATAACATATATATTTTTTTTAAGAGAAGTTGAATTGAAATCCCAATCTTATGGAGGAACCACTTGTCTGCCTATCAGTCTACTTCCTTAGTTCCACATATTATTGGTGGTTGTTTGTCTTTGAATAACAGTCTAAACATACTAGAATATAAAGTGAAATTGGTTAATACTAAGTGCAAATGATCAGTAATGAAATAGCCTCTTTTTTTGGGAGAGGTTGGGTTTTTTTAGTTTAATTTTTTTCCCCTCTTCTTATCACTAGGCTGAATCTCCAATGGATGCTCAAAATAGCGATGCGCTCTCCATGTCTAGTGTCCTGCTTGACATTTTGCTTCAAGAAGATGCATGTTCAGGCACTGGTTCAGCTTCTTCAGGGAGTGGTGTATCTGCAGCTGCTGAGTCTCTGGGGTCTGGATCCAATGGCTGTGGCATGTCAGGGAGCGGAACAGGTAACTCAGGCAGTGAATACTCTCTTAGCATTTTAGAAGAGTTGGAGCATAAGGTATTGCAAATACCACTTGATGCTCAAGTGTTTTATGTAAAAATCTTTATTGTCTTTAATCCTCATTGCATAATTTATTCTTGGGTTTGTTTGGGGTTTTTTTATTACGAAATATGGAAGTTTTTCAGTTGTGGTTGGTTTGCGGCATAGAACCTTTTAAAACTGTGTAAAATACCCATTAAAATACTGTTTAAGTATGTTAAAATAATGAAGAGAAAATACTGTCCTCATTCCTGTTTCGGTTCAGAGTAATTTAAGCAAGCTAATTATTCTGTTGAAATTTAATGAAGACTTAGCTTGAGAATGTGAGTTTTAAAAATATTAATGCGGTTACTTAGGAGTAGAAGTTCCTTCTGTTTAAAAAAATTAAAGTAAAATTAAATAGTGGTTGTATTTATACTTTCAGTTCTCTTTAATATTCTGTTTTCAGTAGCATTCAGACAATCTATGTATTTGACAATTTAGAATGAAACTTTAAATTTCTTTTAAAGGCAGTAGTGAAACTAGTCATACCAGCAAATACTTTGGGAGTATTGATTCCTCAGAAAATCATCATAAAACCAAAATGAAGGCAGAAATGGAAGAAAGCGAGCACTTCATTAAATACGTCCTTCAGGATCCCATATGGCTTTTGATGGCGAACACAGATGACACCGTTATGATGACTTACCAGATACCTTCACGGTAAATCCAATATCATAGTCCTTCATGAGCTGTATATATGTTATGGGGAGCTGGGTGTACAGAAGGACAGATATGTGTGAATCTGTCTCAATAGAAGTAAACTGATTTTAATGTTTAGCTCTGCGTTAAGAAGAATTCTTCCTCTGTTTCTTTCGTATGCTACACAAGTTCTCAAAAAGTGAAAAATCATTTGATTAGGCTCACCTGTATTTTTATATCAATTACCTGAAATTGACTGTGTGTGGTTTTTGAAGCTGTTTTCCAGTTAGTGATTGGTACCTTCTAGCTTAGAAATCCTTGTAGTCTGATTAGTAGATCCTGGCAATTATGCTTAGCTCTAACGATGGTCTGTAGCATGGAAAGTCTGTACTTGCTGGCTGTTGTCCTTGAGGTACCACATTCAGTGCCATGCTGGTGGATTTTTTTCCTGGATTGTTAACTTCCACATGTTCATTCTTCTCCATCCATTCCCATTCTACAAGGAAGTAGAGGTAAAATCGTAAGGTTTCTAATAGAAAAACTTGAATAAAAATAAAAATAGTCCTTGCTTCAGTAGCAAAGAGCAGATATAG